TTGCAGCTGTAGAACTTATGGGAGACTTCATATCTCTCAATCCGGGCATTTGCTTGAAATATTAATTCTTAATTTCCAGGTTTTCAATACCGAGACCTCCGTGGTCTTTGGGTCGGCGTAAAATATCCCATCGTGCGAGACGGTATTTCTTCTTGACCTCATCTGACTACCAGAAGAATCGAGATCAAAAGAAATCAAGTCTCTTCTGCACCCCTTTCGGTACCTCGAAAAAAGATAGTAGGAACATCGGCATACTAGTAAGTACTAAGTTGATCAGCACTAGCCGACCTCCATAAGACATTAGCTTGCCCTTTCAGCAACTAAGCTTTTTTTCAATTCGATCTTCGATGCACTTCCATTCTTTATTATATAGCTTACGGTGATGAATCGGTATGCCCAAATAACTGAAGGACAAAGAACCTAATTCACACCCAAACAATTGTCTATATGTGTCTTGCTCTTCTTTGGCCTTACCAAAGCAGAACAACTCGCTCTTGTGAAAGTTTATTTTTAATCCAGACAATTGTTCGAAGACATAATATGAGTTTCATATTCCGCGCTTTTGCAATGTCATGTTCCATGAACAGGATAGTGTTGTCGGCGTACTATAAAGTGGAGACCCCCTCATTGACCAGATGAGGGGCAAGTCCATCCACTTGACAGTTTTCCTTGGCCCGGTCTATAAGAATGGTCAACATATCGGTCACTATATTAAATAGGAGAGGAGACATTGAATCCCTTTGTCTCAATCCCTTGTGTGTCTGAAAGTAGCGACCGATATCGTCGTTAACCTTGATTCTGACACTACCTTTTTGGACTAGAGAACCCACTTGGTTCCGCCAAGCCTCATTAAAGCCTTTCATGCGCATTGCGTGCTGAAGGGAAGGCCATTTAACTTTATCATATACCTTCTCGAAATCCACTTTGAAGATAACCCCATCTAGCTTCTTCGAGTGAATTTCATGCAGCGTCTCATGCAGGACGACGACCCCTTCAAGAATGTGTCTCCCAGGCATGAAAGCTGTCTGGCTCAGTTGCACCACGAATGTGCAATCCGTGTCAATCTATTGGTGCCCACTTTCGTGAATATTTTGAAACTCACGTTAAGAAGACATATTAGCCTGAACTGCTCGATCCGAACTACCTCTTCTTTCTTTGGCAACAACGCAATCATGCCAAAGTTAAGATGGAACAGTTCCAAATGACCGTTAAAAAAATCTTGAAACATAGGCATAAGATCCGTGAAATCCTACTAGAATTGATAATACAGGAATTATGCAACAAGTGCCTTTGAACAATGCACAGATTGCAAACATAGAAAATTTCAAGTATCGACAAGAGAAGGTAAAGAGAGGGTCAAAGAGCATTGGACTTCTAAAAAAAGGGTAAAATACGGTTTCAGCTTATGTTAAGAAGATTCATATGAAATGGGAGGCACAGGAAAGGATTCCATAGTAATTTGGTATCGCAATCCTATGATCCAAATGGCTTTCGTAGGAGAAAAATCCTTAAATTTCAGATCCGCCAAAGTTCCTACAACCCAAAAGAGGCCCTTCATGAAAGAGACATTTCCTGCCTTGCCTAGGTGGCTAAATTTCGTGTTTTGACCTTTTCTGAAAGTTGGTCAAGATTTGAAAGTTAGGCCACTTAGAGACAGATCCCGAAATTTTTACAAACTAGGGTCAGATCTCGAGTAACTTTCAAAAAAGGGTCAAAACACAAAATTTTGCCTCCCTAGGTGGCCTAAGAGCATTACTAGTAGAACCCCTAAACCCTCAAACCCTTGTAGCAGTTTTAAGGGTTGAGAAGTGCCACTTTTTGACACTTTTAAGGGTTGAAAAACAAGGGCAAAGACTAGAACCCTCAAACCCAACCCTTAAACTGCTTTAAGGGTTGGATTTGAGGGTTCTAGTCTTTGCGTCAACCCCAACCTTTAAAACTGTCATTTCATATATCACACATTTCATCACATTTCATCATATGACATATCACAAATTCCATCACATTTGACATAAAACAATAATCATTCTAGTTATTATTACAACACCGAATAAAACAATAATCATTCAAATTATTACAAAAATGTTTGAGCAAATTACACTAATTGTTCGAATCAAATAGGACATAGAAAAGTAAAACAAAGATACATCATGGGCCAATGCGCCGCCCATCCAACTGCAAGTGGTGCTCTATTAGATCATCTCGGAGCCGACCATGAGTGGTTGCATCCTCAATCTCACGATGTGCTTGAAGAAAAGCGCGTATGCGAGAAGGATTTCTTTCCGGTTGCACACGGGTACCAACATTGTCATAGAAACAAGGGAGGTTTAACCCTCTTTCATCCTCTAGGATCATGTTGTGTAGAATCACACAACATTTCATGATATTCATCAAGGTTTTTTTGTCCCAAAACCGAGCTGGACCATGAACTATGGCAAACCTTGCTTGCAAAACACCGAAAGCTCTCTCAATATCCTTACGGGCTGCCTCTTGTGCCTTGGTGAAATGAGCCTCTTTTCTTGTTAAGGGCACCCCATTTTTCTCCTTGATGGACTTCACAAGAGTTACCCATTCGGGATAGATGCCATCGGTGAGATAGTATCCCATTGAGTACTCATTGTCCATGATTTTGTAGTTGCAAGCTGGAGCATCCCCAGAAATTAATCTTTTGAACAAAGGAGATCTATTGAGGATATTGATATCATTGAGTGTTCCCGGCAACCCAAAGAATGCATGCCAAATCCATGTGTCCTGAGATGCTACGGCCTCAAGAACAATGGTAGCATCACGGCTTTTACCGCAAAACATTCCGTGACATGCCTTTGGGCAATTTTTCCACCTCCAATGCATGCAGTCAAGACTACCTAGCATCCCCGGCCATCCCCTTTTTTCATTCATTTCCATTAATCTCTTTGTATCTTCCTCGTTTGGTGCCCGAAGATACTGCTCACCGTACAGCCGAATGACCAACTTGGCAAACCTACGGACTGACTCCATGGTTGTATCTTGCCCAATGCGAAGATACTCGTCGGTATAATCCGCGGGTATGCCATAAGTGAGTACCCGCATTGCCGCCGATATATTTTGATATGCACTAAACCCCATGATACCGGCGGCGGATCTACAACGTTTAAAGTAATAGGAGGCGGCCTCACAATCGTTGACAATCTTCACAAACAAACTACGCCGCATTCAGTACCTTCTGCGGAAGAGACGAGGAGGGTATGTAGGTACCTCTGTGAAGTAGTCTTCCATCAAATGCTCGTGTCCGAGAGCGCGGTTCCGGTAGATGGTGACTCGTCCCATCTTCGACCCTCTCCTCTGATCCATCAGCCTCACGCGGTTTTCAAAGGATTGCGCGTCGATGAGGAGGCTCATCATCTCGACGTCGTCGTCTTGCAACAACTCGTCGATGTTCGAATCGTCGGATGACGACCAACCCGACGAATCGGACAACGAGTCCATGTCGTTGTTGTTCACCTCCATCTACACAATACAACAAACAATAAATTGTGAGTGCCAACAATGAATCAAAAAGGAAAAAAATAAAACAAAAAGGAAGAACAGGAAGCATACCTGCGGGTTGGGGGCGGGCGACGGCCGACGTCGAGGGGAGGCGGGGGCGTCTGGCGCGGCGGCTCGAGGAGGCCGG